GAATATATTTAGTTATATCCACGCAGATATCTCTTGGGTATGGCTCAACTGCTTCTGTCATATATAGTTCTCAGAAACTAGAAATTATTATTGTCGTGTTTTTTATAGTCATCTTTAGAAAATTGTTTCTGAGCTTTTGAAGAAGGAAAGAAATAAAACCAGAATCTTAATTTGTGAAGATCTCTTTTTCAAAGCTTCTTTTTGCATGAACAGATTTTGCTTCTCATTGAAATAAGAGATAAGGGGCAACACAAACCATACGGCAATTTCTACTTAGATTTTAAAATTACAGTCAAAGCTCTATATGAATAAGAGTACAAATCTAAGAATGCAAAAAACAGGAACTGTAAATTAATGCCTAGAGAGGTGAAGCAGGCAACACAAAAAATCCATTCTATAACTTAATAAAACTGAAAGGCAAAGGATTCAGCTGAAGAACTTAAATCTGAGTTTGTCCTTCACTAAAACTTATTTTTCTTTCATTTAAGTCCCCTTCATCGCTTCCTCTCTGGTGCTATGTCCAAAAAGTGATGATTTTGTTAGGTTCTCTACTACCCTTATGAATAGGAGAAGGGTAAATAATTACCAAGCATGACCTTAGTCCATGTGGCCATTCACAGATCCCTTGAACTGGGATAAAATTCAAAGTAGGGCATGTGATCTTGGTATACAGTCTCCAATGGGTCTTGAGTATAAACAGTCTGATATTTTGGGGCATGAGAAAAAGTATGCCGATATATTTCTCCAAATGCTATTTTAGAAGTTTATATAGTTTATAGCATCATCTATGTTTATATATATATATATATATATATACATAGTTTAGAGTCTGACCTATATTGGTAGGTTTTTCCATTACCTTTTCTTATCTTCAATCAAACTAAACTTATTATTACTTGCAGCATACAAAGAGAATGGGGAAGAACACAAGAAATTAAAAGCTAAACTACAGTGAAAACTGGTAAAAGCTAGAGCACAGAAACCACAGTGCTTAAGAAGACAATGCCATCAAATTTTTTTCTTTTCCCTTCAAAACTTAATTTTTATCTGATCTTAGCAAAAACTAATCTTTTTATTTTGTCTTTTAGACATTTTCCTAATTTATGTTTTCCTTCTTTGTCGTTTCTCCAACTAAGCCTCTAAATCAGCCTTTCTCAACCAGGATTCCTCATCTGAACCACAGAACTCAGAAAATAATTTACAATATATGACAATTTTTCTCATTTTTCCCAAGGATGCTATATAATTAGTACCATTTTAGATGCATAGGATGCATACAATGGGTGCTGCCTTAGGACCCTAGAGTTTAATTATCTCTGGAAACCACACTAGCTCAGAAGAGAAAGCTCCTTTATTACTTTTATATACTTGCTTTACAGTAAAGTAGGTTCATATTCATCTAAATACCATTAATTTGCTACCAATTCAGCTCATATGCATTAACTTTCCTTCTCATTTCAAGCCTTATCTCTCATGGTGGGTTAATGAGGTGAGTTAGGAACCAAACCACTGAATAATAAAAATGTAAGACCTTAATAGAAGGTTGGGTTCTAGTCCCATTTTTGCCGATTCCTGCCTTTTAATTGTTTTGAAAAATCACCTGAAGGCATATAGATATAACCTACTGTTCAGTATTTTGTTGCTATTTTGCTTGCTTAGTTTGATTTAGCCATGAAAGCAGTAAGCATGGTTTTCCTTTCATTAATCACCATAGTGGAGGGGTCAGGAAAATTTTTCTGTAAAGGGCCAGATAGTAAATATCTTGAGTTTTGCAGGCTATGCAGTCTTTGTCTCAGCTACTCAATTCTGCTGTCATAGCCCAAAAGCAGGCACAGACAATACATAATAAAGTGACATGAAATGGTGTGGCTGTGTTCAAATAAAATGTTATTTTAAATAATAAGTGTAGACAATAGTTTGCTGACCCCTGACTTAGAGTAAGGGGTTTGCAGTTCAATAAATACTTTTAACTAATGATGATGGTGAAGGTAAGAAATAGACCAGAGTGGCCGGGTGCTGTGGCTCACTCCTGTAATTCCAGGACTGCGGGAGGCTGAGGAGGGTAGATCACGAGGTCAGGAGATTGAGCCCATCTGGCTAACATGGTGACACCTAGTCTCTACTAAAAATACAAAAAATTAGCCAGGTATTGTGGCATGTGCCTGTACGTAGTTCCAGCTACTCAGGAGGTTGAGATAGGAGAACTGCTTACCCAGGAGGCTGAGGTTGCAATAAGCCTAGATTGTACCACTGCACTCCAGCCTGGGTGACAGAGCAAGACTCTGTCCCAGGGTAGGGATGGTTCCATACCTATACGTTCCTACTATGTAGCAGTGATAAAATTAGTTTCTGGTTTCTGTTAAGTAAAAAAGTAAAGACTAGAGTTTTATATCCACCTAAAGTGTATCCAGGCATATCTGGTAATTCTGGCAACGAGCAAAAAGCAGAATAAATACTATTGTTTTTATCATTTAATTAAAACAAAACAGTTAACTGAATCTACTATCAATAAGTAGAGTGCTGATGGTTAACACATTTATAGTCAAGAGTATTCAGAGTTACATATCCTTTCCAATACTGATTTACCATCAGTTTGTACTTATTGAGTATTATCAGGCACTAGAAACTAAACAAAACAAGACACAACAAGCCTGCAGTCACTGATTATTGACTAGAACTGTGCATTAGAGTCACCTGGGAGACTTTAAATTTTCTTTTTTTAGAGCCCCGCTGAAAAACCTACTAAATCAAAATCTTACTTGTTAGGGCCCAGGATAAAATTTTGGAAAAGTAACCTTAGTAATTTTGGGAGCTCCTGGTGAAGATTCACTGCTATACTTGTATTTTTAATGAAAGGTTAAACTCTAAACATTTTCTAATCTATGGTCAGCAATTTGGTATTATAGTTTAGGTACATGGGTTTTAAAATCAAACAGACAGGTTCTGATCCCATTTCTGCGAATTTCTAGCTGTATAACCCTGGGGAACTTCTCTGTGCCCGAGTTTCCTTATCTGTAAAATGGGCATAATAACATCAACTCAACTCAGCATTGTTGGGAGAATTCAATATATGAAAAACAGCTGGTGTAGTGCCTGACACACACTAAGCACACAAAAAATATGAATCATTACTACTCATTACACATTTCTTAAATTAAAAAGAATATTATCAAGTACACTATAATTTAAAGGCCTGACTCAAGGGGCAAAGTCTGTTTAACAACTATTAGGAAAGTAATTAGGCTGATTCCAACTTGTCTTATACTAACCAACAGAAGAGATGTCCTTTTCCACAATCAACAGCAGGAGCTCTCAGCAATGGGAAGCTGAGTGTATCAGATCCAGATGTATTTGACCCTTGTTTTGTTAGTCTGACTGCTCTGTCACAGCCTGGAGTAGGACACCATTTAATGGCAGGATTATTTTCAACAAAGGCCTGTTTAAACAGCAATAACAAAACACACAAAAAATATTTTAATGCTAAATTCTAATACAGAGTGTACCTCTAGCATAATGTACTTTAAAGCAGAGAAAGAAAAAGAGTGAAATAAAATGCAAGGAGTTGTCAGTCTCAAGAAAGGTAAACAGGACTGCAAAGTACTGAAAAAATTATTAAGAAGAAGAAAGTGGCAATTAACTTAGTAACAACATGATTTTTAAAATTTATGTTTTCTTTAATCTAAAAACCAGGTAAATGATGATAAAGTAAAAATGTAATTGTTCACACAGAAAATATATAATTTAAAAATGTTTTCTTGGCCGGATGTGGTGGCTCATGCCTGTAATCCCATCACTTTGGGAAGCTGAGGTGGGTGGATCACGAGGTCAGGAGTTAGAGACCAGCCTGGCCAACATGGTGAAACACCATCTCTACTAAAAATAAAAAAATTAGCTGGGCGAGGTGGTGGGTGCCTGTAATCCCAGCTACTTGAGAGGCTGAGGAAGAAAACTCGCTTGAACCTGGGTGGTGGAGGTTGCAGTGAGCCGAGATCACACCATTGCACTCTAGCCTAAGCAACAGAGCAATGACGCCATCTCAA